GTTGTGTGCATTGGTGTACAGGCATTTCAGAGAGGTTACTGAGCATGCCAGTTTCCCAGGAAGGATGCAGGAGGATACCCCATAGTCATGTCTTGCAGATGCTTCCTTGGCTGCATGCACTTGCTGGTAGCATCCCCACTTGAGCGGCATTTTGCTGGCTGTGTGGTCTCTGTAACACTCCCCTTCCCTCATCTTTCCTAGTTTAAAGTTCTCCTTGTCAGATTGGCCAGTCTGTTGGCAAAGACACGTGTGCCCTTTTTAGTGAGGTGGATCCCATCTCTCCTAAACAGTTGTTGATCTTCAAATAGGGTCCCATGGTTATAGAAGCCAAAAACCCTGTTGCCAACCTCGGCAGCACAGCCAGTGAGAAAACAAACTGGGCCCTCAGACCCTTGACCACCATCCCCAGAGCTCTGAAATCCCGTTTAATAGTTTCAAGCTGCCCTTAATATCATTGGTGCCCATGTGGAAGAGTGTGGACAAGCCTCGGCAGTCTTTCCATATCATCTCAGATTCAAGCCCCCGGCAAGCAACAAACCTCTCTAAACAAGTGGTCAGGTTGGCAGATGGGTGCCTCTGTCCTCTACAGCAGGGAGTCACCCACAGCAATCACTTGCCGCTTCTTCAGGGTGATCCTGCATGGCATAGGGTTCACTGGCTCAGTTGCTTCACTTGAAGCTATGCCCAACTCCTCCTCAGCTTGAAGGTCACTAAACGTCTTCATCAACTGCAAGTCTTCAGGAGAAACAAGAGCCTTTTTTCCTCATACGAGGAGTGACCAGTTTCCAGCCTTCATCTTCTACAGACTTACTGTTTCACATGGCACAGAGCCCACCTGCATCTCCACTGCAACGGGGGGTTCAGACTCCTGAAGCTGTAGGGTTTCTGAGAATATCCTATCTATCTCTTCATCTTCATGGATGCTACGCAGCCTGCTTACTTTTTCCCGTAACTCCTTGACCTGGTGACAAAACTCATCAACAGCAGCAGAAGAAATAACTGACATCCCCAGCTTCATGGAGACGTCCCAGGCACTCCCTGCAACCTGAGACCTGCAGAGCTACATCCAGTATCACAAGGTCTATCTGAGTGGAAGCCTCTGACACAGCTGACACAGCAACTCCAACAGCTACCAGGGAATGAGTGCCCCATACCTGAGGGAGTACACACTACTAAGATTAGAGATGAAGGGGCCTTCTTGTGCCCTTCTGCGTGAACTGCTGTGCAAACTGCTGCCTCTGTTTGCTGCGTCTGTTAGCTGCTCTTTAAGATACAGTGACTTTGGTTGAGCTGTTGAGTTAGTTTAGATTTGCTCGCATGGAACACTGTAGAAGGTGTCCTCTAGCGTCCGGAATGCTACAGGTTTTCTTTTTTCTGGAAATTTCACTGCAGCAAAAGAACTAGGCACTAGCGACACAATTATAAAATGACGAACTGTTTAATTCTCTCCTGTAATAATGTTGATGCAAACATCTTTTTAAGAAAAATAAAAAAAAAAAAAAAGGAAGAGAAACTGGAATGAAAATGTATGAACTTGAAATAAGTGTCTTATGCTATCAAGCATCAAATGTTTTATACTCCCTAGGTTTCTATTTCCTAAATTTGTGGAGACTTTCTGTTGTTTTTATTAGTCAAAACACTTTACTGCTCCCAATCAGCATTCAAGCTTGGAAAGATCCATTTTAACAACCCTTTTTATTATTTGTAAACAGTTATTAAATAATTCCTCAAAATTTCTAATGCATTATAAAGTCCGTTAATGAAATGATGCATAACTTTTTTCTGATAAAACTTTTTATCTCTTCAGATATAATTTTAAAGTGTTTTTACAACCCAGCTTGAAGTGAAATTGAATTGTACAAAATGACTGATTGTCAGGTACGTCTGAACAAATGAGGTATTCCTTTTATTCAGAATCCATTGAAGGATTTCTTGGTATTTTTATTTAATTTGCTTCATATCAAGAAGCTAAGTTGCCCTTTGAGACATATCACTAAAGAAATAAAAGATTAATGAAAGGCAAGGAACTCCTACATTCTTGTAGAGTTTGGCAGAAAGCCTTAATATTACTCTGTTTCTTCCTCATAGATAAATACAGAGCAATGTTCTCATAGGAGTGTTTTGTCACAAGCTGTCCAGTTCCCTGGGAATAGGTACTATTTTACATCAAAAAAAAAAAGGGGAGGAGGAACAATGACAAATACCAAGCAGAAGACTTTTGAAGTAATGTATGCATATGTCCAATGAATGGAAACTAGATATATTATTTTCTTTATATAGTTCTATTTGTAAAAGCTGTTTAAAAGAACGAGTTCTTCCTGTTGTTTCTGATAAATGTGTTAAATGAGTGGGATAAATGCTGGCTGGTATGCCAACCGCTAGAACTCAGGAAGCTGTATGATTCTGGGACTTAAGTGAATATTTGAAAAGCAATTTGAAGTGAATCAATTAATTTTAAAACCTTAACTCTTAATATAATGCAAATCATATTCAAAATCACTAGCCACATAGTGGTAAGTAAATTTTTAAGTACATGGATATTTGTTTTAATGCCATCCTGAATTTCTCTTGTGCTTATGATAGTGCATCCTCAGCTCTCTCTGTTTTCACATATATATATATATTTTTTAACTGTAATGACAACCTTCTTCAGCAGCTATATTGTCCTGTACTCTGGAGTATAAAGCACATATATTTTTAAAATTCTGTCATCAGCCTTTAGTATTTGTCAGTGGAGAAGGCAATATAACCTAAAGCAATTTGTATCAAAAAGGAACTGAGCAATATCATTAATCGGCTATTTTATTTTTAATTCTGGATAAATTTTAAAAGGTACATATTATTGCATTCTAGGGAGAAGGTGAGAAGAAGGTAGATATCCTAAGTAATGAGACCCTGTGGCTAAATCATAGAATTTTCCTTAATATTTTTTCAAGATAGGTTTATGGAGGTGGCAAGGTTAGGTGGAAAGGTCTGGGTTTGGGCTGAAAAACTTGCTCAGTCATATAGGAAAGCAAGCAATTTACTAGAGAATATGAAAGAATTCCATTATAATAAAAGGACTTTAGAAAATCTGAGTAGATAAAAATTAAGGCATGCATGCCTGGTAGAAATACATGCATGTGTAGAAATGAATTGGTAAATTGTTCAGGAGCAGTCCATCTATGTGCAAATGTCTTCCGCGTATTCCAGCACTGTTCGGAAGGTTGGGTTATCACAATTGTATGACAGCCAGCTGTGAAGCACAAACTTGCTTGAGGCTGGTGTACCACCCACATCATATTTAGGAAAATCTGTGCAATTTTCCTTCACAGATTTCAGCTCTGACCTTGGTATTGTAGATTGTTGCCTTTATCCTTATTTGGTCTCTTCACTTCTTATATTGTAATAAATGTGCTTATATACTATCAATATATGTATAATTAATCTGTTGAATTTCTGTGTACATTTGGAACCCAACAAAAGCATGAGAAAGTATGTCATAAAGCAACAATAGTGTAAGATAAGAATAATAAATGTGACATAATAAAATTCTATGTTCTCTTGTCCGAGCAACTGATTAAAAAGATAGTCACTATTTTTTCATTCTCAAAGGACTAATATTGAGAAGATTTTTTTTGTTAACTCAATAAAACTAAACATCTAAAACTCAATAATTAGCATAGGTATTAAACAGGGATGACTAAAATAGGAAATGATATAGTAAAACATGCAGCTTTTTGTTGCAGAGGACTCATGCTGTGCAGACATTAAAAGTTTCAACCCAGTTATCATGCATAAAGATTAACTTAATTCCATTCTAATCTGTGAACACATTTTTTACTTAGTCTGTTAAACCAAGTTATCTCTATTAAAACCCAGTCTTTGTAATACTACTACAGCACAGGGATAGTCTTAGTGCTAGAAAAAATTATGAGCAAGACAAAAGCCTTAGACACTCTCTCTGTCTCTGACTTATATAAATATTAATTCACGTATTCTGAATTGCTGAAATGTATTTCTGAAGAGCTAGAAAGCATCATTACAGGTGGAATAACTTGGAAAAAGAAAAACACAGGTAATTAAAATAAATACAAATCTTTGCTTACAAAACAGTTAATAAAGCAGTTGCCTCTACAGGCAACTATTCTAACAGTATCAGATACATATCCTTTATAATGAAATGTGATGCTGTTCAATAAGGCATATTATTGGAAGATGTTTTATTTTGATTTCTGGAAATTCCTCAGAAACTCTAGTTCCTAAGCCACTTTTCAAAAATCAGATTTAGGCATTTATATCCAAAAAGTTGTTGCAGATATATGCCTTGAGGAAAGTCAAAAGCATTTGTAATCAAAACATTGTGGGGTTTGTAGGTGGTGCTTAATTAGGACATTGAATTAGAACATAGAAGTGTGAAAAGTTTTTAATATAGCAGCAAGTAAGGTTACAAGCAGTAGGGGTTCTATTCTGTTGTCTAACCATATGTGTCTTGTGTCATTTGAGATGCCTGAGGGCATACCTCCGGGCACCCAGCTGCTGGTCTGTAAGGGCACAGGTCTCCTTTATGTCCTGTGTCATATTTGCCAGTTCCCTGTGGATGTCTCAGATGCCTGAGGGCTTCTCACGTGGCACTAGCTACCTATATTTAGGCAACTGAACTGAGCCCTAAAGAGCTAGACATTATTGAGAAAGCATATTTGCTTCTCTATCAGTGTTGATACACCAGAAGAGCAAAAAAGAGTAGCTCTTCTAAACAGAATGTTTCAGGAGGTGTCAAATTGCACCTCAAACTTTGAAGGACTAAATATTCTCACAAATTCTAAATGTTTTAAAAGAATCGTCTCCGTGGTCACTTTTCCATTGCTGATTGCTGCAGTAAATGCATGCTTATATTTAAAAACAATAAAATCATGGTTCTTAAATTAGCTGAAGTTTGTGAAATAGCTTAACTGTCACCAAGTATTTTTAGTGTAGCATTTTTTGTTCTATTTGGTACCCCAAAATAATGCCTTCCTTACCATCGTTTCTCAGTGTCAAAGGTGTAGGAGGACTCAAAACTCTGGCATTTGTCACTGTGTTTTTTACCAAGCATATATAGCTGCCAACATCAGATGTTTGCACCTTGGAGATGTAGAGATTGCCCGTCTCCTGAGAGATGAAGCGTCTGCTATCTTCTGCCACAAAAGATGGGAATTCATTAAATACCCAACTATAGATGATTTCTGAAAGAAAACAGAAAAATAAAACAATTACAGAAAAAATATTGCGTATTACTATTGGATACATCCAATCTATTTTCAGTAAATTGATTTAAATAATCCAGAAAAATCAAAAGCTAAAGTCTTTTGATTGTTTTTGGTTGGTTGCTCTAGAACTGAAGAAGAGGAGTTTTTCTTTCCTTGGGATTTTAGAGGTGGCATAGGCACTGAGCCCACACATTCCCTAGAGGATAGAATTTGTTCAAGAATATTACTTAAATATTCAACAGACTCACAAATCATTCTCAAAATATTATATGATTCCCACTTCTTATCCTTTAAGTCAAGCCAGAAATAATATACAAAACACTAATTTATCTACATGTTCAACTTTTCGGTGAACGTGACACTTCCCATAGAGCTAGCGATGACTCTTTTCATGTGTGTGGATAACTAATTTTATTCTGAACATCTACTTTTTTTAAAATCAACAGATTTTTGAAGATGTTCAACCCACCTTTCAGAGTATATTACTGCACCGTAATTCCATTTTCTTCTAAATATGCTTCCCTGAAGAGTCTCAGAACCCTGCCTATCATGCAGCTTAAAACTCTAGGGTCAAAAACTAATTCCTTAAACTAAAAGTACCAAGTGCTATACCTCATAATCTGACAGATCAAAGGCTAATCAAAGTGTGTTTTTTTTTTTTTCTAAATGATAATCAAAGCCAGTGTCTTGGATCTTATTTTTATCCTGTGAATCATTGTATACACCTGAAAAGTATATACAACCATAATAACTGGCTGAGAAAAAGCGATAATTGCCTATTATTCGGTATGAGATTATACTATGGTTTATTACAAATCTAGATACATTGATGGCTTTACATTAGAAGTGTCAGTAAAGTTAATAAGATTCTTATTTTTCACAGTTTCATTACCTTTTCACCTTTTTCATACTTTAAAAAATATTCTTTACTTATTAAACTAACACATTAGCTATGAGGCAGCCTCTATAATCTTCCCCTCTGATATTCTTGGAAGAGCTGACTCTAAAATCAGAAAAGCTAAGGCTAGTTCAGGCATATAAAGTCACTGCTACTGCTCCAAGATGCAGACTGCTTCACTAAGTTCCAAGTTTTTAGACACTAATTGGTTGAGTGACTATTATCAGCTTCAGCAGCGATATGAAGATAGCAATCTCACATATATTAGTCTGGTTCTATCGTACATTTATTCTCACTGTACTAATAATGCCTTCTTGACAGAAAGTTAGTTGGAGAAGAAAAGGATCAAAGGGGTGAGAGGAAACACCACAAACTTTCAATTTTCCATGTACCTTGCTTCTAATGATAGGAGAGGAACTGGTATAGTTGTTCAGGGTACCAGAAGTATGAAATACGTTAAAATCCTAACTAAATATATGCCACTGCAAGGTATGCAGCTTGACTGTAAGTATTTCCAATTAATTAGTCCTTTCTGTTCTTATCTTGTAATGTTCCCTGACATAGGGTGGTCAGAAAGGAATGGAAAACCATGCTGACCAGTTTCTCAGTCAATGTAAACCAACAGTGCAAGCAGCCATGTAGAGAGAAAGGATGATTTGGGTCAGTTTTGAAGAAACTCAATCTAGTTTTGAAGTCACATGGAAATTTTCACATGAAAAAACATAGTAGTAGTAAAAAAATGCAATGTTAAAGGTTTAAACATATTTAGCAGACAGTATGAGTACTTTTCCAAACAGACAATTAAGTCAGACACATTGGCTTTTTACTTAAAACCCTTTTTCAGATATAATTGCAATTCTGAGTGGTTATACAGGACCCTAAGGTATTCCGGGCTCACAAAGAGCTCTCAGAATGTTCAAAATTTCCTCTTCTGCTATGTTGCAGGCAAAATACTAATTAATCCAAAATAATTGTCTCTCAAAATTTCAATGCCACATTTTGCTATGTTGTCTTATCTGGAAGAAATGATTCATGATAGCATAAAATGATATAAAGTGATGATGAACATACAAGTTCAAGGAAAATGCATTGGTTTTAATTAAGACACCTGTTACCAATTCAAATGGAAAGCAATTAGTCTCACTAATTGCTTTGGCTTAAAAGTGGTTCAACCCAAATATAAAGCAGTCATCACTGTGGGTTCATTGGCAGTTCAAGTAGAACAGAATTTACTCAATCAGTACCCTAAAACACACCCAATTAATTATTAATTTATTAATTAGAATTACTGCTAAGGAATGGATTTCAGGCAATAAATTTTTGCGACTTTGAGAAAATGGAATACTTGGTCTAAACTGATGCTGACTCTGGAGGGATATTGTCATTTTGTCATCTGCCAGATAATGTTTGCTGTCAAAATATGTGATTAATGGGTAGTGAGAAAAAAGTAATATAGCATCTGCCAAATCTTTATCTAAAACTCTAACCATTTATGCTATTATACTGAAATGAATGTTTTTATTTATGCATCTCTACAGCTTCTGTGTTTCTGCCAAGAGCCCATACTCCAAAACACAAGTAGAAATACTAACAACTTACCTCCGAACAGTGTTAGCCCACTGACATTGAAGGAATTACTTACTCTTTTCATTTATAAATATAAAACTTTGGGAATACACTTTCAAAGACCCAAGATCCAGACTTTGGATAACTTTTAGGAAGCACCTGAATGCTCGTTTGAACTGATCAGGAATTCTGAACCTTTCATTTGCAGGTGAAAAGCCCCTTTGCACTTTATGAAGTTTCTCTTCTATTAGACCTGTTTAAGGAATTCAGCAGACTCTGAAATACAATTCTGAATGTTACGTCTTTACAGTGTGCGTAGGCTTCAGTGGAAATATACTGATCTCATGGAAACTGTGAAATTTTCACTGCATGCTTTGCAGAACAATCAGAAGCAACCACAGCTGGCTTGGGATCTGGGGACCCAACAGTTTTTAGGTGACAGAAATAGATGGATGATCTTGCAGAAGTGATTTTACAAAAGTGTGTTAAGGGAACCACTGCAATAATGGGAAAATAGGTGTACCTTGACACTGATCCATTGTACAAATCTCTCAGATTTCTAAATTTGCAGCCCTGGTAGAGGATGAAACACTAGCTGGTTTTCACATTCTGGGACTCCAGCTGTTCCCAGTTTGCATACCAGGAAAATTAAAATTTAGGGTTCTTAAATCATATGATAGCTGATGAAAGTTGTCCAGGTAAAAAATACTTTGTTTTTTACTTTGGTTTTTTTCCTTTTCTTTCTGAAAATATTGTGCATAAGTGAGTACCCTAGTGATTAGAATGAAATCTAAAGGAATAGCTAATAAAGAATAAATCAATGTTTTAAAATGTTGCTGTCTATTTTTTAAGTCAAATATTTGTCTACAGCACCTGCACATCAAAGTAGTCTACAACAATGGTGAACATGTTTCAGCAGTCCAGCATAGGAGTAAGTGTAAGCTACAACAGAGAAGTCTTACAGTGAAGTATTCTCTATAGTCCCCCTCTTACAAAATGGTAAACTGAGATGAGTGAACCTTTTGGAATTTAGATCAAGATCTGTAAGACCAAATGGAAGACACTTTCACTGCAGGTTACTGCAGTTGCTAGTGAACTTCAAGCTTATATTTTTTTTATACCAGTTAATATTAAAAGAGCTTAGACAATATCATTATACTAAACAAAGAACACAACAGTCAGTGCATTAATTTTTTAATATCAGACTAAGCTCCAGAGTTGCGTCTCAAGACTGAGAGGCAGATAGCACTGCATCTGAGGAGATTTTGAAGCTAAAAGTCATTACTTCCAAAATTTAAATAGCCAAGCTCTACCTACAACCATAAGATCTGGAAGTAATGGCTCTAGGTATGGGAAAAACTATAATGTGGCTGAGTAAATGGTTTCTCCATGCTGTCCTCATTTTGCTGTCAATAGGAAAATAAAAGTTTTGATGAAAATAGAAAACTGTGAATACTGCAATATGTAGAAGTTCAGAGTACTTTTCAAGATTATATACTGTGGTTATTTTTTATTTTTATGGCCATCTATTTTATTTTTAATATGACAGCTATGCCAAAACCACAAAGATGATGCAGAGCCCTTTCTAGAAATTACAGTTGACTGCCAACAGAAAACAAACTTTTATGTAGATAATATTCATCAACACATCTGGAAACACAGAGAGTAAAAAGCAGAAAAATTATGAATTATAGAGGTAGTTGCAAATTGGCATTCTCCTGTGGCACTGGATGAAGGATTCTTCTGCTAAATGTAATATGTAAGTTCTGTTCTACACAAAGTTTTGGTGTGAAAACTATTTAAGTCATTTTGATGGCAGCAAAGCTTGCATTTCTTTTTATGAATGACCAGCCATGTTTACAGGAAAATCTCTCCCAAGAGCTTTGTGTCTGTTTTCTGAAGGTCATTTTGGAAAGCCTTCTAAATGCCTAACTTTTTTTTGTGTTTTATTAAAGACTTTTTCATGTGCTATGTGGGTGAAAATGTGGGTCACTTGATGATAAATTAGTGAGAAGAGCACATCAATCTCCTGCCAAGATGAATTTGTGGAGTGAAATTTTGTGTACTATTATTTCTTAAATGATTTTAGTAGATTATTTTCTCTGCCTCACAACACTAATTCCTAAACTGTCACCATTTGACATATTTCCCATAATGGATAAAGCTCGAATACTGACACATCAGCATTTTTATTGTGTATCTGGATTTATCTTTCTGATGCAGAAAGTGTTGCCATGGTGATGCAAAAGTCTTACTGCCATTGGGGGTCATGAACAAATGACCCCATAGATGTTGCAACAACATGAGCTGTGTAGAGACATTCAGATATCTCCAAACATTCACTCTATGCTTGTTAATGTCTGAATATTTTCCAGATTTTCTTCAAGGCTTTTGTCTTGAGAAACTGCTTGTTTTATCTTTTTAACATTTAGACTTGGGATAGTCTTTTCATTAGTCCTGCCAGCTAAGTGTTACTGCAGGTGGCATGTGCAGCTGTAACAAGAATGGCACC